GTAAGAAACAGCGGAGCATGTGTACAGAGCAAACCCTAGCCTTGATAACTGGAACAACTATGTAATGCGGCGTAATCGTTGCACCACACTTGTCTGTAAGAACAACTTAGTACACCAGTTGAGCAGTGCCAACAAAAATTTTCCGTATAAACATTTTAACGGCTTCCGGAATGTAAAGCGTGGTGTTCCCCCACTCATCTTACCATATGAATGTGCTCAGGCCACTAAGGATGTAGTCAACGTTCTACTGCTCCAATTTGCCCCAATATTCCGACGCGACACCAGCATGTGTCACATCTATTCCATCCCCCCTAAAGCCAATATTCACACACCACACTTTTAATTCAACTACCGCCTTTAGGATGCTGATACCGTTGTGTGTCCATAGTTTCTTCGGTGTTGACAATATTCCCTTGAAAACACTGCAGGTGACAACTATGAAGATAGCTGATCCAAGTCTAGTGAGGAGGTTTACAACATTTTACATCCTGCGGTCTGTGAGAAAGGCATTGTTGAAATCACCAACAAAAATACAGAGAGAATAGCCAGTGTGGTAGATGACAGTTGAAGTGAATTGATCGTAAAATACCTCTGCTTCAGAGGTGGGACAGCTGGGAGAAATATAGACATTCGACAATAAAATCGATTGGTAGCCGTTTAAACCTCTTGGTTTACATTTTGATACTAAGCAGTTAATACGTGACGACAAAAAGTGAAACACGTTTTGTTGACCTGCACCACACTTGCTCCACACCAGTTCTGGTAGGTACATGGCCGGTAGACACGGTGGCAAATGAATCCCCAATCGCTACAACTGTGTCGTCTACATTCTAATGGAGTTAAGTCTCCTGAACCATAATCACGCCTAGCTTCGAGTGTTCACGCCAGCAGATGGTGGTCTTAATCTCATCCAGTTCGCTCCGCAATGTTTTCTTCCGTAGAGCCGCCCTCCAATCAGCACGATGCTTTTTAGTAGCATTGTTCTACTTCTTGTAGATTCGCTTCTGCTTATTTCTTATGACGACCGTGAAAATATGGAACGTTCAGTGGAGTAGAAACACATAAGCACTTTAAAATCTCGCAAAAGGTAGGGTATTATTACCTTGCCTATTGTATGGCTCGGTGTAGCAAAACAAAATCAGTTACCGAAAATGTGAATGGAACAGAAAAGCCAAGTTTGAAGGCCCCGCCGACCGTGGAGCGTTGAGTCATTTGCACTGTACAAAAGTCCGATGCGCTATTCATTTGCGGCGGATGTTCACTGGTGATTTCCCACTATCGATGTTTATTGGCTGTTCATCTTTCGCAATTTGGCTCATATCTGGTGGGAACACCTTATGAGCAAATAGCGTGTTCGACACCTTAGTTATGACGTAGAAAGTAGTGGCGAACCGCTTAGCTGTGTTATTTCATGCACCAGGCTCCGATGGCTAGACCACGGTGTTGCGTATGCCAGCCCATCGACTCCCGCGACATTCGTTGTTTGCGCGCCGTGGGTGCGCATGGAAGAAGGGGAGAGGTGGCCAAGTGGATTGAAGGCCCTTATTTCGAACTTGGCCTCGGTTAGAACATTTCCTTTCCATGGTTGGGGACCGAAGGACGATGATTGCATACGCTTGTTGATGTGCTTAGTAGCCGACCTCAATGGCGTTTGTGCTGTGAGTTTCTTCGTCCTTCTCCCTCCCGCTTAGCTTCCCACTCTAACCGCGTTCTCATCTACTAGGCACAATATTACTCTTTTTTGCGACACAATAGCCAGCTGTTAGCTCTCTGCAACGATGCCCATTCTTTACTGGTTGCCTCAGCTGACGTGTTTCTATTACAGCTTTATTCTTCTTCTTTTCTTATGTGTTGCGGCACAATAGCTGAGGTGTTTTCTATCTCTAGCTAACATGGATAATGACGATGATAAAGTCGGGTACAGCGGTGGCTGCGTAATTTGGTATACACACGTGAAAGACGACAGTTTGTGAGGTTGAAATTAAACTACTAAACACGGACTGCCACCGATACTTGCTGAGAACATGGCTCCCGTGTGCGTCATCATGGGCCGTCTATCACTTGCGTACGGGTTGAATGTTTAGATGCGCGACAACGAACCGCGTGGAGAACAAAGCACCTAAAAGAAAAGTTATCTCTTAAACTAATGTTTACAATTATTGTGTAACGTGTAAAATTTTATATGTGGCAAAGGCAGCTAGCGCTGAGAAAACACTGCATGACACCATACGTTCCGCCTGTTCGAGCCGTGCCGTGTGCTCGTGCCCGTTTTCTGCGTCATTGGAAGTGCGTACGCTTGTATTAGGCTTCGAATCTAGGTTCCAGCTGGATGGTGCTTTGCTTTCGAGGTGCTTTAACTACACGCCACTAAGTACATCGTCACACAACTTAATGTGCTTGTAATCGTCAGTAGCGAATGCTCTGCGCATAAGGAGTAAGAGCATAGACGAGTTAGCGCAATGTTGCCACTGACGGTAGACAATGCTGCTACCGCGGACCTTCTAGCTGACTTTCTCAATTTGTGCGAGTAGACTTTGGAACGAAGGCCAATGGAAGTTCAGTTAACGTCTGCTGAGCGCGCGGCAAAGTTAGGTAAAGCGGAGGAAGTAATGGCGGAGTACACTACTTCGCTTTGCAGCATGGAACCTGAAGGAATGACGGGTGTCTGTTTGGGTTTATTACCGACAGATATCAAATAGATGATGGACACACCCCTTGTAATACTGTTCTAGAAGGCTGAGATTCAAGCTCCATAATGCATGTGTTGGTAGCGTGAATCCATTTTTTACTTACAAAAGGACAGTTAACCAGAACTATTCGGCCAGTCACGACTTACTACTGATGCAAGTGCCAGCGCACTTATTGTGCGGATTGCAGCAGTATACATCGTTCCAAAATTGTCTAGAGATATCAAACCGCACCACCGTTTTCTGAAATGAGACCAACGTGTTTGTCGTATGGCTGGCGGCGTCCAATTCCCCATTTGTCCGTCACTGCGTCACAGTGAGTTGCTTACACTGCACCACCCACAACCCCATCCCCACATCCTGTATCCAGTCTAAACTCGAGGGATTAAGACTAGGAAGCAAGTGCATGTGAGCATGTGAGTGCATGTTCACCAAATGAGCCGGACCACACTCCTAAAACAGACAGAGCAGACGCATTCATGCTTAATTGGAAAATCGTGCGTACCAGATTTGCACATGGCGGCGACTTGGCCGTACTTCACTCCACATTGGATGGAACCACTCTTTGAACCTAGCACGACCACGAGGACCGTGCACCTCATGCCCTCTGGCAACTACCACTCGTCGTCTGGAGGCAGTATAGATGAAATGGTGGAAAGGCATCTTGTCATCATTCACGTCAACCGCAGCCACACCGGGGTTGAGAATCTACAACCAAATCCTGAAATGCACACATACAGACCAAGTGCAAAGACGACGCGGCACATGCACCACATCAGCAGCTGTATTGGCCTGAATTGGTAAATCGAATAAGGGTGCACGCAACGCACCTACCAATCGCTGCCCAGTTGGTTCGGCGTCTTTTGGATGCTGGCCCCACGTGTCCACGCCAGTGGCTTACCAAACCCGCCTGGCTTAGGCACTCGCGACAGCATATGATAAAGCACCGTGCCTGGAATCCATCGGTACCTGTCGGATCCGTACCTGGCGTTCGTCCTCCGCGTGCAATAGTGCTTCTGCAATTGGGCAACTGCTCTTATGATCAGCTCACACCATTCACGACGATCAACTGCCTTTGATTTGCAACACTTGAAATCAACATTAGTCTCTTGATAAACTCATCTTGGTCAAGTTTTTGTACCGTAATTTCTTGTTACTCGCTCGTCGCTTTGCTGCACCAAATTGGTCGTACAATGGTTGTTTGGTTATCCTCGTCAAATTCCTCCGGCTGATTTGCTCCAGTCACGTCAGGTGCCGCAGACGAATTATGCAGTCCACTTTATACGTGCCACTACGGCGCAGCATTTCCTTGTCTGCAACACTGTCGCACCAACCGATGCGCAGAATCCGTCGCAGACACCGTTGATGAAACCGCTCGAGATATCGCACATCCAGCTGCTATGTCGTCCACGTTTCGCTGCCGTATAGAAGTTCGGACAGCACCGTGAACTTGTAGACCATCAGCTTCGTGCCAGCGGTAAGCTGGTGGTTGTTCCACACTCGGCACTCAAGCTTCCCGAATTTCGCCGCTGCCTTCGACAGGGGGATACGTGCCTGCTCTGGCTAAGGCCACGTTAAACAGTGATCATGTTTGGTCGCACCGACTCTGCTTTCCATCTGGTCAGCTCGCATGCACGGTATTAGATTCGTTAGTGACCTTTCCCCTCTGTTTGCTCAATTGATCACCAGCCATTGCATCCCGTGTCATCAGCGTGGGTTCCTTGGCGCGCACGCAACATTCGCTCATCGCTGTGTAGGTCAATACGCTTGCCCCTTTTCCGTAAGCAGGTTGCACTTCGTCTCTCTGACTCATTCTGTCGTTGGATGTTCGTTTCGGCTATACTTAATTGGCCTGTTTTCTTGCGCCTTATCAGTCACTTTCACCTGAACTACCAGCTAATATCACTTGTTCAGCGCTTCTTTAGGATCATCAGATGAGTAAAGTGCACTTGAGCACGGCGGTTTTGTCGCAGTCGTTTTTCTCTGATTGTCGTGACATCATTCCTCTACATTGGTTAGCGAAGCGGAGTGTTGCGTTACGTTCCCTTAGTAAGTACAGTTACTCCCAATTAGCTGGTCCCACTGTTTACCAAGAGCTACGGTTCTGGCATGTTACAGATCACTAAGCAAGCCTCAGTGCAACCGACTTACGCGTTCCTCATCATTGGCAAGTTTTTCAGCCGTCTGCTTGATGTCTTACTTGCATGGCACTTTTCCCTCTGGCTTGTACTTTTCGTCTCTGCCCAGATAGCTTCACTATTTGCTTTCTGAACACCTAAACCTATCTTATCTCGTTATCGATTGCTTCCCCAGTATCCCTTGGAGGTCCTGTTTCGTTCGATTCAGTTTGCTCTTCTGGATGTCGCTTGTCGGGAATACTTCTTCCTATCGGACTTCTTCTTCTTGTCTCCTGAAAGTCCTGAGTCGTTGTCTTACCAGGCACCCGCACTTCAACATGCACCGACCGGAGGAGCTTTAACTGCGTTATTCGACCAAGTCATGGGACGGACGCTCAATCTTTTGCGCAAACAAGTCGAAAGCAACCTAATTCCCATCGGTTCTCATGACGCTTTGGGTTTATTGATCTGCTTGCAGGTGCTTCACGCTATGCTGCGTTTAGCTCGAGAGCGAGGCGTCCATGTGATGGAAAAGTACGTTTCCACCTAATTTGGATGGATTGTAAACCCTATCTTTTACACAGGTTCTGGACATCGCTTACGGAAACTTTATGGGTTCACGTAACCGATCGTCTGGACGCACACATCGCATCTTTGCGGAACGATTTCGATGTAACGAACTTCAACATTAGCGCGAGAGGATTGGTTGGCACAATGGCCGGTGGCGTCAGTGGTTCTGGTTTGTCGGGTCGAACGTATCCGCTTATCAGGCCTCATGCCGTGGCCAGACGATACGCGGAATTGGCCGCAAGTTTACATTCCATTGGACATGGTTACCCCGGATGTAAGTAAACTATCTATCTTTGCTGTCGCCCCATTTTATCGTGCTGCTGCTGTGTGTTTCGTTCGACACGAAGCACGGTCTACAGCATTCAGCTCATACTGACCTATGTTGATTGTTTTAGCTCAATACCACTAATGGCTGTAGATACGCAGAAAAACTAAATTGCGACTATTTCGGCATAGTAATTTAAGCTATGTTTACTAATGAGTAGTTGAAATTTGAGCATAATTTTGCAACGAATCAAAGGAAGCCAGATTCAGAGTACCAAATTCTTTTCTGTAACTCTCACCATACTCAGACTTTACGTGATGACATGCCAAATGTGTCGGATAGGGCTGCGTATTGATTAGAAAGTTTCATCCCAACAGAAACGAATCAATAAATCACGCGGTCTCTGAAGGTGGCAGGTTATTTACAGGAACAAGGTACTTTCACCAACAAAGATTAACGGGCATAAATCAATCGTACAACAGAAGTTGTAGTCCACGGTAGAAGTGATGTGCAAATTACTTTTGTACGCACAATTGTGGCGAGAGTTGGCGGACGTAGCTAGCGATAGTTGGGAGATGCTTCCGGAATCCGCGAGATAGACGCTCAGGAATATAGATGATGCTGAACTCGCCTTCCGTCCCTGCTTGACTGCACTTTAAGTGGTGTAACGTGATGGAGCTATGAGAAGATCTCGGTTCGCCTCTATAGTCAATTCAGTCCGAGGAACGCTCACCTCTGATGTGACCCTGAAAGTCGAAACAACTGTCTGGTGCCTTTCCAGACTGTTAAGAGCCTGCCTGACTGAGAGGGGAGTACGAGGATCTACATCTAATCCCCAACCCAAATTCCATTACCCATTAGTAATAGAGGTTCCGTTCGTATAGCTTTTAGATATTGTATCTTACACAGTCACCATGCGAAAGCCGTAGTTCTGAGGTCAACCACAGTCATCTGCACAGTTCGTGACTGGCATGAAAATGGAAGATGAGCCACGCTATATCGTAGCTGTGCTTATGTTTGTAGAATCCCCTCTAATTTTGCACAGGATGCATGGAACTTTACCTGTTAAAGAAGACGGCGAGTATTACTTTCAGTCGCTCCGGTTGACATCTTTCACTTTGCTTAGCACTTTTGGTGCTCTGATTCAGTAGCCAAGCTTGTTTCTGGGTGTTCTCTTATGGATTTTCGGTTTTGAGTGTGTCGCTTGACGGGTGATCTCATCATGAGCAGCAGTCAGCGTCCTGCAATGATTTCGCCCAACGTACGGACGTAAGTGTTTCGGCTCATCGACTAGCTTGAGATATGCTGATTAGACAAACCAGTGACAACCTATCTCCCACCTGTGGTTTCTAGTATATAAGCTTCGATTCCATACTGCACCGTAACATACTGCTACACTGTGGTCCCTGCCACTCCTAGGAACTCTGCTGTTCCACCATCGAATCTGATTCCGCCTTATTTTTTTTTACGGTCAGTTTTCCCGTTGGAGGGATTCACGTGTTTTCTTCACCTCGGTTAAAATTTTTCGGTGTTATGATCACTTATTCATTTTCACCTTGGTGAATGAGATTGAATCACCAAATTTCCAATCTCTCCATATCTCATCCACTTACCATTGGTTCACTCGTTCGATCACTTCTCACTGAATTTGTCGGGCATTAGCCGAAAAGATAAAACTGTCTGAGTTTCAATCAACCTCATTCATTTCGGCTGAATGAAATGTATGGGAATGATAAGAAGGCTCAGGGGAATTCGTCACATTTAGTCCCAGTAATACAGCCGTCAAAACACACCAAAAAGTAGTGGACAGCTGCTTCGTTCTTTCATGATTAGCGGATAGTACGCGTTTCCCCATGATCTATGGGGGCCGTAGAAAGCTAAGACACAAGCAGGTTTCATTGACGGAACCGATTCCGAACGATCAGATGATGTCACGGTAATTAGTGGCTAGGTAAAAATACATCAGTAATAAGCCGGCGCATGATACCGATACTTCGCTGCTGCGTGATCACCACCGTTCTCATGTGAGCTAAGTATACCGCGTGAGCGCCCTCGTCTGCGCTGATTCGGGCCAGTGACTTCCGAATTACAAGGGAAGCGCGTAGTCTTTTCGGCCACAGGCCGACAAATTAAGTTAGAAGTGATCGAGCGAGTGCACCAGAGGAGAGATTGGAAGTTTGATGATTTATTCTCACTCTCAAAGGCGAAAACGAATGAGTAAGTGTTCGCCACCACTGCTGTCATCCTAGAGCGCTTTGTGTTATTTTTTCTCTAACGTTCCTCATCTTAATTTAGACCTTTCCTTTTGAATCAGGCGGTTGCTTTCCTCCTTCTTATTTCACAGCTCCTCTCTTCCCTGATTCTGATGATGGCACTCTGAAACAGAAGTCAGGAGAAGCATCAAGTTCCCCCAGATCATCTTATGGAGGTCCGTCATCCTTCCCAACCGGTTCGCTTTCTGGAATCAGTGCGCTGCGAGTTAGCGTACAATCCAGTGATAAAAGCGTTATCAAGCCGACGCTGGACGCCAGGATTCTCAGTCGTCTAGCTCAGCTTCAAACACAATTCGAATGCGTGCTGACGCGTCTGGCCGATTCTTTTCCTACCCAGCGATTGAAGTGTGTATTTCTGATCAACAACTTCGACCTTGTTCTCAGCGTTTTAACGGTAGGTCACCAATATCTTTATACCAACTGATACGAACTTTTTCGGAATCATGCACTTTTGTTTGTGATAACTTCCTACTACTGTAAAGTTCACTCCCTGTACCTATTCTGTTCTCAAGTACTACTACCTAACTTTGATGGCAGTAGTATGATCCAAACAGTATCCAGCCGTCACATTATATCACTACACTTCTCGGATGGTCTCGAATCTGGCTATTCATCACTTTTGCCAAGCGAAATTTCCTGCTTTTGTTACAGTGTTATGTGGGGTTATCCAGTTCAGTTCAGTCAAACGACTACGATCCGAGGACAGCATTTATGACGCATCCCAGCTCATTACTCTGCTTCTGCGCTCCCCATGTATCTATACATATAAATATACACATAAATATACATATAAATATAACTTTCTCGACCTTGCGAGAGATTATGTGTGGGATTCATAGCAAAGCGCGTCAGCTTAGTTGCGTTTCAAAATGAATGACTAGTTGCAGTAAATCTAACACAAGGGTGCCATGTCAGACAAGGTCTATCCCGGGGCTCTCAACCATGAAGTTGGTTCCTACTGACTGTATCGTCTTTCATCTAATTTCCCCTTGCACCTTTGTCTCGTCACCTACTAGACATTTCGCGGTTTCGCCCAATATCGGTGCAGCATCATCAGGCAGCACATGTTGATATGCAGTCAATGTGAGTAGTTCAACTGTAGCATATATTCATTTTCGGAACAGCTGGCGTGCTGGGAAACTACGTCCTCAGTGTTTCCACCACTGACCAATAATGGCTGGCACCTTAGCGTGTGTGGCTCATGCAATAACACCGGATTTTCGGAAACTTTGTGTGCTCCGTCTTGCTTAGTTGTATGTCCTCTCGCGGTCTCTACAAACGTATGGGACTTTGCTGTGTTACGTGCTGTAGCCTCCTCCGTGACTGAAGTCCACCCTTTACTGCAAGATTAGATGGACTTTACTTTCCACCTGTCCCCGTTTCAGCTACCCTGTATATCAAATGAAGGTTATGCAACTGCCGAATTAACATGAAGTAACATAGTCAATCTATTCTCACATCCCCATTCGCTAAATTGCACAATTATCAATCGTTTTGTAGTAGTATTCACTAGCACCACCAGGGAAAATGTCAACTCTGTTTAGAAATGCTTAACATGATTAGTGGTATCCGGTTTCGGATTTGGCTGTCACTGTGGCGAGCCACATGGCGCCTGTGCCTACAGATGGACCATGGGTGGCTTGCGCTGTACCACCCACAGTTCCAACTACACACCCCATATCCAGTGTAAACCCGAAGGAATAAGACCGGGAGGCATGCGGATGGGAGCCACGTTTCATCAACGGAACTGGCTCACATTCCTTCACAGTCAAACACAAGCACGCTGTATTTGGGGAATTAAGTGCACATAAGATGGTGGCTGGACCGTGGTTCGCTCTATACTGAGTGCATGGAACCACTCTTCGAGACTAGCAAGGCCACAAGGACGGTGCACCCTGTTCCATCCAACAACGACCAACTGTATCCTAGAGCCAATATGAACGAGGTAGTGGGTACTAGACAGATAGGCACCTTGTCAACATGCACATCAAGCGCAGCCACACCGGAGATATCAAGCAACAGCCAATGATTTGAAACAACAATATAAATAAATAAATAAATTTGTATGTTTACCAACCGACATTACACGGTCCACTAAGTGGGAGAGATCATTTGCTGTTTATCAGAAACCCGCCTGCAAGGTTCAAGCTCCATGCTTACCCTGAGATCCCCCACATGCGACACTGGCGGCAAATTCTCATTGCGCCTGTCTGGCGATGATGCAGCTTCAAATGCCGGTCAAGCTGGCGTCGGCATTGTTTTGAGTCCCCGAGCTAAAGCTGCCCTGATTGATTGGATTCCAGTAAACAGTTGTATGTGCGCCGTTAGATTTGCTGGTTCGTTCCGTGCTACGAAGTCGCGCGGGGACAAACGGTGTCTGTTTTTCATTGCGGCCTACACCCCTACAAACTGTAGCACTGATTCGGTAAAAGATGATTTCTATCAGCAACTTCAAGAGCTCCTTCGTTACCGAAGAAGCACGGCTACTGTGGTGTTGGCTGGCGATCTAAACGCCCAAGTCGGAAAATTGCCCTCTGATGAGCTTCATCTGGGCAGCCAACATGGTGTAGGCTCCCGTAATGATAATTGTGAGCGATTGCTACAGCTGTGTGAAGATGCTCGCCTCTTTCTCGCGAGCACTAACTTTCGACACAGCACCCGCAGAAGTGTGCCTTGGCGGCCACCAGCCTCTGGCCAGCCATGGACGCAAATCGATCATATCGCGATCAGTTACCACTGGAGAGGCTGTGTTCAAAACTGTCGCTCGATTTGGAGCACGAGCCTGGATTCTGACCACGCATTTGTCTGTGCCGACCTCCTGGTGCGTTTCGGTGGGCGTCCGCAACGTCGATGTGAACGGATTGACACCAGCCAGCTGGCGAAGCCAGATTTTCTGAATGTGTACCAAAGAGCGCTGACATCTGGGCTGAGTAAACGCCCACTAAACACCTTTGAAGGTCACTGGTCGCATATTCATCAAGCGTTGCTGTTAGCATGCATGTCTTCATGTGGCAATGCAAATTGCCACCCTAGACATTGGGTCTCTACAAAGTCTCTGGAACTTATGGATGCTTGCCGACGTATTCCGGCTGGAAGCGAATACAATGAGACTCGCAAAAATTTCAGGGCAAAACTACGTGCTAGCCTAAAGAAGAACCGCGAAACCTGGTGGTCTCATCGTGCCTCTGAGATGGAAGCAGCCGCTGCCGTGGGTAATCACCGTAAATTATTCCGTCTGATACGGGAAACAGGCAGCAGGAAACCTGGTGTTAGCGAGACCATACGCGACGAGAGTGGGCAGCTGATCCACAGCCTGTCAAAACGCTTGGAGCGTTGGGCTGAACACTTTGCTATGCAATTTAACCAACCTGAGTTATCGCTTTCTTCTTCAGGCATTGAGCGCTCTTCTCCCTGGGCCGTCTCCTTGGACCCGCCCCTCACGCGCAGAAGTCGAACGTGAGATCAGACTGTTGAAATTGCATAAGGCCGCAGGGGCAGATAGAATTCTCCCATCCCTCTTCAAATTCGGAGGACCTGCTCTAGTAGATGATCTACACGAGTTGCTAGTAAAACTTTGGGAGCAGGAGACAGTCCCGACAGATTGGAACCGCTTCGTCATTGTCCCAATTTTCAAGGGAGGCACCCGTTTAGAATGCGGCAATCATAGAGGGATCAGTCTGATTTCGATTGCCTCTAAATTGCTTGCCTCTATCATTCTCCACAGACTGACTGGCACTCGTGAAAGCCAGATTCGTGAAGAGCAAGCCGGATTTCGTCGAGATCGGGGCTGCATCGACTACATCTTCACATTGCGCCAAGTGTTGGAGCACCGCCATGTTTATTGGCGACCCACCGTTGTCGTGTTTCTTGACATAAAAGGTGCCTTCGACTCAGTCGATCGATGTGCCCTTTGGGACTGTCTGCTGAGGAAAGGTGTGCCTGATAAATATGTAAACATTATCAAAGCGCTGTACGCACATAGTTCGGGCAGGGTGAGGGTTTATGGCAAACTCTCGCCACCCTTCAGTATCACCAGCGGTGTGAGACAAGGATGCCCGCTGTCACCTTTCCTCTTCAACTTCGCTATTGATGAAGTCATGGAAACAGCGTTCGCTGGACACGACCTAGAAAGTGTGGAGCTACGTCCTGGTGAGCGACTTATTGACTTGGAGTATGCGGACGATATTGCCCTAATCTGTGACAGCTCCCAAACATGCCAAACAGCACTGGAGCGATTAGCACTGGCTGTCAATCGTTTTGGGCTATGCTTTGCTCCATCGAAGTGCAAGGTACTTCTCCAAGATTGGCAGGGACCCAACCCTGCGCTAACGCTTGGTGGTGATCTGCTAGCAGTCGTTCAGGAATTCAAGTACCTGGGCAGATATATTAGCACCCGTGGGGTTGAAGATGAGGTTACGAACCGTATAGCAAAAGCTCGAGGTGCTTTTGCCAATCTCCGCCACCTGTGGCGCAGACGCGACTTTACTCTCGCCCTGAAGGGCAGAGTTTATAACGCAGCCGTCCATTCAACTCTCCTATATGGCTGTGAAACCTGGCCCATCAGGTCGACAGACACTAAGAGGCTGGTCACATTCGATCATCGCTGCCTTCGCAGCTTTGCTCATGTCTGGTGGGAACACCGCGTGAGCAATGAGCGTGTTCGACCTCGCGTATTTGGTGCAGGAAGAGCCAGTGAACCGCTCAGCACCATTATATCACGCACCAGGCTCCGATGGCTGGTCTACGTGTTGAGCATGCCAGCACACCGACTCCCGCGACGTGCATTGTTTGCGCACCGGGCGTGCGGTCGGAAAAGAGATGGCTAAGCGAGGAATTGGTCGAGAGAAATGAAAACCCTCACTTCGAAGTTTGCGTCGGTTGGTGCATCCCGACTGCCTGGCTGGGGTCCTAAGGACGGCGAACACGTTTGGTTGGACACACTTGCTGATATGGCTTGGAGCCGACCCCAATGGCGTTTGTGTTGTGAGTTCCTTTGCCCATCCCCCTCCTGTTTAGCATCCCCATCCAATCACGATCTCACTTGTTAGGCGTAATATAACTCACTTTTACGGCAGCCAGCTGTTAGCTCTCCGGAACGATGTCCATCCGTTACTGGGGACTCAGCGGGCGTACCGCTGTTCGTTTTTTTCTTTTCTTGTCTTTTGTATTGTGGCACAATAGCTGAGGTGTTTTCCACCTTCAGCTAACGTGTAATGATGATGATGCTTTGTATAGTGAGAAGGTTTCATGGTTTATGCGGCGTAAATCACAATAGGAAAGAAAAGTTTATTAATAGAATTTCGGATCATGGTTTTTTTTCCTCCGGTCCTAGACCCATGCACCTAATATGTAAAATTTACAGATGTTTGTATCATCATCTTCTAGTTTGTGGGG